AATACAATGGAAGACCAAAATGGCTGTTATTAGCACAGTTAAACAAACGAGCACAGTAAAACAGTCACTGGTACAATTGGTTATAATAACAATTGTTTTCATTGAACCAATCGCGTTCTGTTGACAAAAGTAGGTCACTACAGGAGCTCCCCGCTAGAAAGGGTTTACACTTTCGATAGTTAGCGGTCTGATATGTGGGACTGATCGGCAGAAGTGCCGTTGTAGGACGGAGGAAATTGGCGAAACAGGAAGTGATCGTTGATCCTCGAGTTGCCAACGAAGGTCTTTTGCGCAGAAAGTTACCAGGAGGAGTGTGCTGTATTTGTTGGTCGAATTAGCATACCACACCAGAGTGATTTGTATCCAGGATCTGAAGATCGCGTTCGTAGGGATGCGAACCAGAAAACGCTGCAGACGTAGGACGAAACCACGTTGAGCCAAGAAACCGGACGCGACCATAACGATCAAGCGTATGCCAGGCGAATTCGAGACCAGATAATCGACTGAGTGAGTTGACTAGAGCTTGTGTGGCCAAACCAGCTTTTGCCAAAGTTGACTGAAGTCGACGTTATCAAACGTGCGATGGTCGGAGGCGTGGGCTCAGGATACATAAAAAATCAAAAAAAGAAAAGTGTTGCATGCGTGTAGTATAGGAATAATCCTACACCGTATCTGTTATTGACTGTGCGTTTAGTCGCGAAAGCGTACGGGTAATCGCACTCGGCGACCGGAAAGTAAGACGGTGTTCTCGTTCGTACTTCGTGAGCCTGCGATCTGATCCGAGGTCAAGGGCGGCGTGGTCTGCCGATCTGGACGTGAGACGGAAGTCTCGTTCGTAGATGGTGCAGATGACGCGTGCTGTTGACCGGGGCGTGAGAACGAGGTCTCTGATGTATCTAGCGTGGGATCCGAAGTAGACGTAGAGATCCCGCTAGAAGGTTTGATAGGTCTAGCATTGAGTTTCAAGTTATCGGGTAGGGCACTGTCATCGACGTGTGCTGGTTTGAGACGATCAATGCTGACGATCTCCACGCGACCGTGTCGATCAACCCTGAAGGTCTTTTCAAGACGAGAGATCACGTGAAAAGGGCCTTCGTAAGGCTGTTGTAGAGGTTTGCGTACCGAATCTACTCGTATGAAAACATGTGAACAGGTAGATAACTCTCGAGGGAGAGCGACCTGTCGATGTTGTATTCGAGTTGACACCGGAGACAGCGTTCGCATAAATGCAGACAGTCGATGGACGTAGTCTGATTTACCGAAATCATTACTGCTCCATGGTGTGAAGAATTCCCCAGGCAGACGCAATGTCGTGCCGTATACAAGTTCAGCGGCGGAACATTGGATATCTGCCTTCAAACTCGTCCTGATGCCTAAGAGAACGAGCGGTAAGGTTTCGTACCAATTGTCGTTTTCGTGTGCTCGAAGAGCACTTTTAAGTTGTCGATGAAACCGTTCGACTAAACCATTCGATGCTGGATGGTAGGCAGTAGTGCGTATGCGTTCCGTACCAAGCAGCCGGGTCAGTGAGGAGAATAATGCGGACTCAAATTGTTGTCCTCGGTCAGTCGTGACAGTCGAGGGACAACCGTACAATGCTATCCATCGTTCTACGAAGCGGTGAGCAACTGTCTCCGCCGTGATAGACGTGATGGGAATAGCTTCGGGCCATCTTGTAAAACGGTCAATGCACGTGAGTATGTGATCATACCCATGCGATGGTGGCAATGGTCCTACAATGTCTATATGAACGTGATCAAAGCGAGCATCAGGCGTGGCGAACGTGCCAATGGGGGCAGCTACGTGCCTGTGCACTTTTGATCGTTGACACTGTTAGCATTGCTTTACCCACATACGGACATCTTTATTCATGGACGGCCAGACGTATCGTGCAGCGATGAGACGTAATGTGGCTGCGATACCCGGATGAGACAATCCATGAAGGGCATCGAAGACGAGACGGCGATAGGTAGAGGGTATGATGGGTCGAGGAAGACCGGTAGAAGTACCACATAGGATAGTACTTGAGCTAGTAGCTAGGGGTAATTCCTGACACTGAAGAGAAGAAGATTGTTGTATTTCTGTACAGACAGGATCGTTTGCTTGCGCGGCGGCCATAGCAGGAAGATCGAGCACCGGTAAGGTAACTGCATTCGTCTGGGTACGTGAAAGAGCATCGGCAACATAGTTCGACTCGCCTTTAATGTGACGAAGGTCTGTCGTGAACTGGGAGATATAGTCCAAATGTCTGCACTCTCGTGGTGAGTAGCGGTCAGACTTGGTATGCAGGGCATACGTTAAGGGCTTATGGTCGGTGAATAAAATGAATTGGCGTCCTTCTACTGCGTGCCGGAAATGTTTGATGGCGTAGTAGGCTGCAAGCAGCTGGCGACCAAAAGCGCTATATCTCGTCTCCGTGGGAGTAAGGCGTCGTGAAAAAAATTCAAGCGGTTGCCAACTACCGGAGATATTCTGTTGCATGACGGCTCCTATAGCGAAATCTGATGCATCAACCGCTATACTAAGCGTGGCTGATGGGTCAGGATGAGCGAGGAGTGTAACTTCAGCGAGAGCCGTTTTGATCTCTGAGAATGCAGTGCGTGCGGTATCGTTCAATTCTAATTTGCGTGGATTACCGCGTAGTAAATCGGTTAGTGGTCGTAACCGTTCTGCCGCGTGAGGGATGAAACGTCGGTAGAAGTTAACCAAACCGAGAAAAGCCTTCAGGTCCTTGATTGAGGACGGCACGTTGTACTCCTTGATTGCTCGAACTTTGTCCTCGCAAGGCAGAATACCCTCTTGTCTGATGATGTGACCCAGAAATATTATTTCTGATTTACCCAATTCACATTTCTCTGGGTTGACTACTATTCCATTATCCGAAAGACGTTGGAATAATAGCGTAAGGTGTTGATAATGTTCATCTACGTTTGATGATGCGATCAGCAGGTCATCAATATAGACGTGAACAAAATCCAAGTCTCGTACTATGCTATCGATAAACCTTTGGAAAGTTTGAGCAGCATTCCGTAATCCGAATGGCATTCGTAGGAACTCAAACAGACAGAAAGGAGTCGTGATAGCAGTTTTTTCAATGTCTTCAAGAGCGACTGGGATCTGGTGATATGCTCGTACCAGATCGATTTTAGAAAAGATAGTCGTGCCCTTGAGCGATGCCGTGATGTCGTGTATGTGGGGGATGGGGTAGCTATCAAAGCGCGTAACTACGTTTAATGCTCGGTAGTCGCCGCAAGGTCTCCAACTAACCCCATCCTTTTTGCGCACCATGTGTAAAGGAGAGGCCCAAGGACTGTGAGAAGGACGAATAATACCAGCAGGTAGTAAATTGTCAAACTCACGTTTAGCGAAGGCTAATTTGTCCGGTGCTAGTCGGCGTGATCTTGCCGTGACTGGTGGTCCGCGGGTGACTATGTGGTGTACCACACGATTGGTCACCGATGAAATCTCCTCGAGTGGTTTAGTTATTCTGGGGAATTTCTCGAATAAAGCGTGGAATTTATCGTCACGCGAATAAAAAGTGCCGAGGATTCGGTACACATACATCGAAGTCTATTATATTAATACTATTCTTATCGTTATCCGTCATGTCGAGTATATAATATATATTATAAATTAATATGAAAATATATGACAGACGTGTATAGATAAAACAATAGACACCGAATTGCCTTCTTTGGAAGATTTGACCTAGGTTGAGGCATGTTCCAATATTTGGCTCAATAAATGTAGCGTGGTGTCGAGTTGAGCTTGACTCTGAACACTGCTACAAGACTACGTGCCAATAGAACAATAAGATTGCGGTAGGCCAAAAATCAGAAGGCAGATGATAGTAGTAGTTGTAACATATTTGTTGGCAATCTCGTGGTATCGAAAGAATACCGAGATCGTGCCAAAGGAGTACAGATGCGATCGGCAAGAAAAAGTGCGTGCGTGGTCGAAAACCGCGTAGAAGGAATGGAATACAATGGAAGACCAAAATGGCTGTTATTAGCACAGTTAAACAAACGAGCACAATAAAACAGTCACTGGTACAATTGGTTATAATAACAATTGTTTTCATTGAACCAATCGCGTTCTGTTGACAAAAGCACGTCACTACAGATGTAGCTGAAGAATCTTTTACATGCACATTGATTGAGAGTTACAATCACACCCAGAAACACAACCAGTCTAGTGTGAGTTCCGATTAATGACCAGCTTCAGCCCAGCAACACGATCAATCACTCCACAAAGGAGCTGCCAACTTCGTGCCAAAAACTATCTTCAAACGCTTTCATATTAACGTGCAAATGATCAATCTGCATTAGTCATACTTGACACTGACTATCTTTACGAGATTATCAAAGGTCAATGATCGGTCGCTTAGCATAGCCTGATAGGTTATTTGTCCAAGGTTCACTGACTAAAAATTAGTTGCTCTGCCAGAAGGACCTTCAGACTCTTGGCATTTGGAAAATAACCTTGATATTTTCGTTTATTAGAGAAGTAACGAGGTTATTTACTATGGCGAGGAAAATTTGGAACAGAGAAGGTAGTTATACCAAACCCCACAAAGAACAACTTGAATTCTTGTAGGAGAACCGAAGATGAGATTTTAGCTCTTGAAAGCCTTGTTTTACAATAAAATCTGACGATTGTGCAGAGTTCTGTATATCCTGTTGTATCAAGATGTCAATATTCGGTGTTTTTGTTTAACTTGGTTCAAGTTACATTTGTTTCTAATGGTGTTTACCTGCAACACTTGGTTTTCGTAACAGGATCCCGAGACCAATTAATAGCGCAGCGTTAGCTATAGTACGATTAAAACGACCTTTAGTGTGAAAATCACTAAATAAAAGGTGGTTGGATCAGTACGTTTAATTGGGAGATTGCAGCTAGTTTGACGCTAATAAAGTGAAGAGTTTATTGTCATCTTGTCTGAAGATTTACTTCAACGGTACTTTCAGCAATCTGGTCGAATTGCACTCTACAATAGTAAAATGTCTTCAAAGGTAATGTTAATCATAATACTTAAACATTTCCGTGTTACGTCTATTGTAAATAATTTATCGACCAGCTGAGTTTTAAGTACTGACAGTTCCTCGTTGAAAGGAATATGTTAGAATTGAAATATATTACTGAAATTTCATGGGCTTTGGCGAAAATTGTTTTGAATATGTGGAACCTTTGCGGAAGATTCAAAATTTTGTAGGGAGTTTCCTAGCTCATCAGAAATGTGGTTATACCCATGGGAGCTTGCAAGCTCCCAATTTTAGGGAAAATTTTACCTATTTTGGGGAAATGGCACAAAAACCCCAAAATTTAACCAGACCTGGGTAAATTCCTGAAACTTTCCCCTGGCTTTGGGGTTTTTTTCCCAAAATTTCCCCAAACGTTGGGGTTATTCCCCAAAATTGGGAGCTTGGGATATATTGATATATCAATATCTCCATAAAGATTACTTTAAATTCATTAATTATGTGTAAACACTGAAAAATTAGGCTTTCCTCAAACAATAAAAAGAGTGTTGATCAAATATTAACTCATGAGAGGTTTCGGAACGTTGGCGTGGTTACACCCACAGCATTTTGTGGGAGTTCGCCGTTAAAATATATGCTAAGGAGCTACGTACGACTTATAGAGGCTGTTTACTCGAACACGACCAAAGCCAGTGCTTACAGCATGGATTCCGAATAATCAATGGCTTTACCCAGCTGGTTTTACCTGTGGCATAGATGAGATGCTTGTCATCAAACTAAGGGGCTACTATAGCGCACAGTAATCAAATATTGTACTTTATAAGGGAGTGACGTAGCTTTTAGAAACACAGTACATTCATGAAGAACAAAATAATCGACTAAGTGATCCTAAAGCTGGGTGTAATACTATATAAGAATAGCAGTATGACTTCTTGATGGGATGCATATTACATATACTTGGTCATTGGCTACCTTGACGTGTTATCACTATCATTTCTGATGGTGAGCCCTACATTACTGATTCTTAAGATGCCATGGATATTCAGAGTTAGACAACGCCTTTTTCCGTAACACCTTTATAACCGAACGACCTCAAACCAAATCAAACCGGAAGACAGGAATGAAGTAGTTCAAAGATATTTTTGAGAGGTATTTGGTATTTCGAAAAGTTTGTAACCTAAGCTGACTAGTTCTTACGATGGATACGTAGCACGACTTCCCCGTTGATGGTCTAGTGTGGATGCTTGACCAAGCGTTTTTAGCTTGGATGTGTCTAGTAAAACTAATGAGGTCAACATCGAAGACTTACGGGACTATTTATTTTGAGGATTTAGTTACCGACACCATTCCAGATGCAAGAAAGTTTGCATATTTTTTTTTTTCGCAAGCTTTTCCACGTTTTGTCGGAATTTTTACATTCACCGCATTATGCTGATGGGTGGAAACTTGAGACAACTAACATTTGTGCTAAGTATGTATTTGCTTATGATTCACTTAGTAAGATTAGTTTAAAAGACATTAATGCCCTCTCGTGTTTTTGTTCATGTCATGCACCATCAGCATATATATCATTTGATTAACTTATTAATAATTTTATACTCTTGACAATATTTTGATACTTATTGCTTCCGGTTACCAAAACGACAGTTGACATGATAGTTTTTCATTTACTTTGAAAAACGTCCTGGCATAGTTTAGTAAAATGCCTGTATTGTCATTTACAGCTTGAAACCCCGTGTTTCAAGTTGAAGAAGCAATATTTTGTAGAATGATCGGGAGCGTAAACCAGATAATAAAGCAATCTGTTTTAAACTATGCAGAGCTGATGTATAAAAATGACCTACTAGTAAGATCTGTTTATGATAATAGAGCGAAGCTCAGTCCTGTAAAATCAGATTTAGCAACAGTCAAGTGGTATAGAAAAGATTAGATAAAGATGCGATTTCAGATCAAAATAAGAATTCGTGCAACTATTATACAAAATAATAACATGATTTGGAGGCCTAGTATCTACTACCGACTCTGGACCGTGTCATCCTACATAACCAACTACTGGTTACGATGACAGCATAGGACCTAACCAAGTGGTGTATGACTTTTAACATGGCTCAATTTGACAGTGACTTCGTTGACTGATACCATATCTTGGTCTTGCCGTCCATATCCTCTTATCAACCTACTCCTTTACCAGATAACATCATTCATCAAGGTGTGGAGTGGTTAGAAATATGTAATACGTGTCACAACAACCTCAGTCAATAAAGATTTTACATCATTTGTAGGTTTTCCATCCTCATTTGCCACGCCGCCCCAAATTTCAACATTACTCATTGACCCAAATATACACGGGTAAAGTTTGGAAAATGTATGAGTTTATGCAACAAATCATCCCAAACCATCATTAATCCTTAAGGTTAAGTTCTGTGGATTAGTATTTTGCATAAATAATTTCTATATGGGAATAGATGATATTAGGGTATTTCATTAATACAGAAATTAGATTATTTATTCACCACTGATGTACTGATGGAACTTATAATCTTTAGTTGACTAAGACTTATACAGTACTTATGTAGGAAAATAATGAATTATGACCTAAACCACTCCGTTGCTGAACATTCTAATTTTGTAATACAGATTGTTCAAGATGCAGTTCATGGTGTAATAGAGCTGGAGCCACTAGCTGTTCAGTTGATTGATTCTCCTGAATTTCAGCGTCTTCGAGAAATAAAGCAATTAGGTATTGCTTGTTTTGTTTTTCCAAGTTGTCAACATTCGCGATTCGAACATTCAATCGGTACTTATCATATGGCCAAAAAGTTGCTTGAGACTATTCACAATGATAAAAATTACTCGGGTCCAACTTTGAGCTCCTCAGAACAGTTAGCCATTAGAATTGCTGCCTTATGCCATGATTTAGGTGAGTCGATACACGACATAATTTCTGAGTGTTTTAAATTTCCAACAACTATCTGATCATTTTGGTACAATAGGCACTGAAAATCCATCACGCTAATTGAGATCATAACATTCTGATTTGCGAAGATCACCCGAGAAATGGTGTTTATTGAGGAGTACAAGTCTATTCGTTAACCGGCCTTTAAGAATCTATGGGTTTAAACTTATGAAAAGTAGCCAACACACCTAGTTTGCTTCCCAATATTCACACTAGACATCTACGCAGAGCACTTCTGAATCAAAATTTTACGGTTGAAAGGAGTTCTACTCATCCGAACACCTTTTCCCGGTCACTTTTGACACCTAGAAGACTGAAATATGTCAGTGCACTTATAATAAAAAGTGATGTGTTTCTTGATAAAATTCAGAACCAGTGCTACAATTCGCACAAGCCTATCACGACCAACACGAAATTTTTTCATTCAGCTTACCAGATTCTCTGCTCAATAGCTCGTCCCCTCAACATTCTGAGTTTCGAGTGTTTTATATAGTATGAACCAAATATTCGAACTCTGATTAACTCTTTAAGATTCAAGTTTCCACACCTTATCGTCACAGCAGAATGAAATCATAAAGTTGAATATCAAAGTAATATCATTAGTAGTGTTATCAGTGATGGTGAAAAAGATTAAGGATAGAAAATGTTTGCGACATAATTTGACACTTCATCAATGAGTAATGGGGCGTCTCAACGAGTACTTTCTTGTCGTTGTAGCGCTTCAGTTTGTCCGAACAATACAAAAATTAGCTTCTAACATACGAGATGGAGGAATGCCGGTACGATAAGTGTAATAATATTGAAAAAGTACCTCTATAACTAAAATAAGTATTGACATACATTTTAAGATAGTTCTATACTATAATCCCGTACTGAACAGAAAAGTGGCGTCTCAACGAGTACTTTCTTGTCGTTGTAGCGCTTCAGTTTGTCCGAACAATACAAAAATTAGCTTCTAACATACGAGATGGAGGAATGCCGGTACGATAAGTGTAATAATATTGAAAAAGTACCTCTATAACTAAAATAAGTATTGACATACATTTTAAGATAGTTCTATACTATAATCCCGTACTGAACAGAAAAGTGGCTTTAAAACAGTTATTGAAGCAAATAACACATTTTAGACATATGAAGTCGAGAAAAAAATCTTATCGTAAAATCCGATTAGCTGGTATTACGAATTACAAATCACTTAAATCCAACGTTCACTATTACACTTGTAAATATCCAGCTTCAGCTGATTCCTCAGAAAAATTTCTGTACTGTAATAATAAAATAGGTGTCGGCATTCTTTATATTTCAATGACTATTGCGTTTGTCACATCTTTTCTTTTTATGGAGATTGATTCATATTTAGTGAAAACGAATTGCTTGAAAATCAAAAACTTTGTAGACAAACGAACAATAACTATAAACCATTGCATGAACTTTTGTTTTTTATTTCAAAACAGGTCATGGACCTTTTTCTCATTTATGGGAAGAGTTCGTTAAAAGGGGAGGGTCCGAATATAGTGAATATAATGTAAGTGAATTAACTTTGGTAATAACTGCAGAAAAAATACCATTGAGAAATGCGTGCTTGATTTTTATACTACTTTTACCGTTCTGAGATTCGTTTAGCTAATTTCATCTCGATACTCTAGTGTATTGCGGTGACTTGAGGTGATGTAAATGTTCCAGGTTCTACATAGCAAACAACTGATCTATTGGTCTGGTTTTTCAAACTAACTACAGAGGGACGGCGCGCTAGAGTATAAATAAATCTGATAGATCCGTGACATACTTTGAAGACATTGAGAAAATTGTATGCGTTTAAGTTTTCAGTTCTTATTGCCAAACTTATTCTTCACTAATTAATAAGATTCTAATTTATACTACCTTAGAGGCTTTCATTTTACTAAAGTACAAGTGCTCTCTAAAGAAGCCAAAGTATTTGAAACGAAACAACGTCAGTTCTTGTAATGTACTCTGAGTATGTTGGCTTATTGCAACCACCCAAATGATAATTATGCTTTCTAGAAATCACTAATTCAAGATCATCGTTAATTTAAACAAATGTTAATTAAAATCGTACCGAAATATTTACTGTTGATGTTGGGCCGAGCTTTTCCTAAATATGATATATGCCTAGTGTTTTACGTCTATTATTCGCTATTGTATCGTTCATTTAGAAAACTTGTCATGCCACAGTTATCTAATGCTAACACTAGTCATTTAGATGTGAAAATAAGTTAGGGCCATCCATTTATCAGACTATCTAGTTTGTTTATAAAACTGATGATTATAAAAGACATATATCAAACAACTAATTTTAAAATGAAATAATCACGTGATTCAATGTTCAATGTACTTTTTCAGATACTAGACTTAATGTAATGTTAAATCAAAATAAATCAAACCAGTAAGAGCGTATAAGTATATTATGGGAATAGACTTGGGCGATTCTTAATATAACGGCCTGATTTTAACACCTCAGCCAATGAACAGAGTCTACGTATCCCAAATTGTTTAGCAACAGAAGTAATGAGATTTGTTAGGGTTTATTGATTTTTAGGAATTTCATTTGTTTTTCAGGGCAAACTTCCAGTTCTCCTACTGTAATAATACAGTCATCACTGCACAGATGATTAGTCCAAGTGGAAATTTATCGACCCTGTAGGTTTGTCCCCGTGTATTTCACATAAGCACAAATAGTTCTATAGGAGATTCATTAGTGTTTAAGAAATCGTTATTGACAAGTTCGCTGAAGGTTTACACAGATGAACTTTTTGGAACAGATATAGTTGTTGCCATTCTGATATGAAGAAATTATAAGTTAAAATCGTTATCTTATTTACGATTCTATTACGACTTGTTTATTATTTGGTGAATCAGTAACAAAATGGATTTTTTCAGACTTTACTATCAGCAAAATAATATTGGATGAAGACTGATTGGTTCACATGTGGCGTAAAATCTGTACTTTAAGAAATAAGCACTTGATACATTTAACATTGTAATTTTCACTCTGTGGTGACATAATAAATATTTACAAGCAATTTTAAACATCATGAGAACTATATAAAGGTATTTCTACTCTACATTTTTTGTAATGAGAAGCAAAAGTCATCGAAATAAGTTCTTCTCCAAAACCCGAATAGATATTTGTCGATTCTGACTGGCTAAGTAATGGGTAGTGAGCCATCTTAATCCAACCGAAATACAAGATGTTTGATACTATCACCACTCTTACTTCAAATGAATCGCAGCTGTCAGTCTGTAAAAATGATAGTGACAATAAGAAATAGAGGTGAGATTTCCTTCAAATTAATGTAAGGCCAAATACTGACGAACAAACTCCGCGAGGGTGGTGTTATGTAGATGGCACACAGCGGTGATTGGTTGACGTCCTAAATGACTGGATCGATGAAATATATGACTTGTAGTACATATTCACCCTATCCCCTGTACTTATCGTAACATAATATGATAATAATACATACTTTGTTCGTCTGTTCAGTGTTCTCATTAGATCATTGGTTGTAATGTGGCTAGTCGATACACTGCAATGACTATAATGCCAAACAAATAATATACTCCAACCGTGATGGGATCGGTATTTACGTAATCAAGCGAACATCGAAAAGGCACTGACGCATATGTGAGATTCTGTATACACTTTAAAAATGTTGCAGTTATAACTCTACCATATACCTATTAATTCAGGTTAATTTCTCCAGTTTTTTTATGCCCTTTCATTTCGCATCTGTATAGCATGAAACAATTAGTGGGCATGTACTTTATCAAATTATTTGTTCAAAATCTACCTTACAAAGTGAATTAAATAATCTTGGTGTTGATATGAGTCTCATACGCAGCCTAATACTAGGTGATACTAGTACTGTATTATCACAACAGGTAATCTCTTAGAAATCATTCTGAATAATTTATTTACTATACTCAATTGGTCGTGATGCCATATTTTGTAGACTTCGTTAAAAAACTTTTTTTCTCTAATTAGATAAATCTCATTTAGCCTGAAGATAGTATCTAGGATGACAACTATTTACTCTTAGAAATCACTAAAAGGTTATAATAATTGACTGTTTTTGGAATCGAATCCAACAATTTGCGGTTTTATATAAATTAGGTTAAACGTTAACTACTAAATTGAAGTTTACTTTCAACTTATTGTAGACTACTTTTTGGAACAAGCTAGCTTACTCATGCACCAACTTCGATAAAAACATTTTTTCTATGTCAGGTTGTGTTGACCATAGTCAATACGAAGCCCTATATGAACATTTCATGTCAGGTGAAACTTGTTAGTATAATGTCGAGTAAACTGATTATGATATTCGTACGAGCCAATGGTATTTTGTATTTGATTACCTATGATTACGAATTTCAAATACAATACGTTCTGTCTTGTTTCAATCGCACTGTCAAGGTGATTCCTAGTTAGTACAATAATTCGAGTGCTTCTAATTATCGTACTGATGTTCCTTGTAAGATTCAAACCCACATTACCCATTATCACAGTCAGTGAGGTTACCAGTGTCCTACTAGGATTGTAATTGGCCACCTACAGGACTGAGATTTTTATGATAACTGACTACCGAGTCGTAACTGTCATCCTTTTATTGACCGACGTAGATCTGACAAAAATCACTAGTCCCCCCCCCAAGAAGGCAGATACAACTTAATGATAGGTGAAAACTGGTACGAAATTTAATCTCAATATTTCCTGCAAATGTCCTCCTTCCACCTACTATAAGGACAGTACACGTGATCTCGAGACACTTAAAATAGGAGTTACATGCCTACCTGGTTGATAGAATTTGATCAACAATAAACAGTTCGACTAGTAACGACATTAGTTTCCACCCCGAAATCAGATACTGGATATATGTACGTGTAGTGGCTGATACTATGTCAAGCCCACATAGGTCATTCTAGCTCATAGACAGACCAATTTATTCATTTTGACCCTGCCAATTATTCGCTTATTAGCTTGACTGTTTTCTACATGATCGTATATATGTTAATTGCTCATCCTTTCGATTACGTGTCTGTAATTTACTTTTGTCTGAATATAAATGTTGAGTCACAGTTGGTCAAAGCGAGTTGGCTCAATCGTTTTCTCTGCTCCACTTCGTTTCCCTTATTGTCTGCTCAGATCAATGAGTGTATGAAATATACGTATTCCAAAATTAATTCTCATATCTGATTTATTTAATTCCGTTATTCACTAACGCGATTTCAATCGAGGGTAGCTGAGATGTATATTTCCATAACAATCAGCACACGATTTAACTGGAGTCAGATATTGGGCCACTATATATCAACCGGAATTATCGTTTCATGTTTTTACATAATTATCATTTTAGAAATAACTATCTAAATTTAATATGTTGTATTCCATTTTCTCTAATTTGAACCTTTCACAGGATTCAGTGAAGAGTAAATCATTTATTTATGAGGTAAGTTATTTTTAAGTTTTAGAAAAATCTTTAAAAGCTGTAATGAATTTTGTCATTCTACTATGTTCATGTCATTTCAAAGATGCTTCTGAATACAATATAAGTGTGGTCATGCGATACTTGCAATTGAATGATCTGAACTTCCTAATTATTATGAAAAAATATTGAATTAGTAGGTTTTGGCAAATTAAATTTTAAATTAGTTATTAGTACTTATTATGATTATTAAATTTTACTTTGTCTTAATAAATTCAGATTCTCTCCAATAGTTTAAATGGTATGGATGTTGACAAATGGGATTATCTACTTCGAGATTGTCTGCATGCTGGTTTGGGGGCTAGTGGGACTAGTGTGGATATTGATAGATTTTTAAGATTTTACCGACCATGTTTACATACTGATAAAGACAAAGGTGACGAGAATGAATTAAAATGTTGGCATTTATCATTCAGAGATACAGAATTGGAAAATTTGCTTCGAACATTCAGTTTACGACAGCATCTTCATCAAAAAGTTTATCAACATAAAACAGTGACAGCTATTTCTGTAAGTTAAACTGCTTATCTGTTATTTCAGATATTAAAATAGGATTATTATTTTATCTTTCAAATACATGCAGTCTTTTTAATGGTTTAAACTAAACTGTAAGGAAGAAGCGCATTGGTGTGTGCATATCAAATAGTCCACTGTTTTCACCATAGATAAAATCGTGAAAATACAGTATAAGACATTATTTTACCATTCAACAAATCCAAACTAATGTTGATTTAGGATGCTACTAAGCTTGAAATTTCGAAACTTAGAAATGCTAAGATTATTAACTAGTTTAAAATTTATTTGTTGAAATTAAAAGGAATGTCGACTTAATGTGTGTGAACAGTTTCTGGGATTCACCAAAATTGTGATGAGATTTTAAAAAAGTACTCTGGACGTTATTGTGTTCTGACAACAGTTCAAAAGGTAGAGTCAATACTGTTTAATTGTATAGATCCAATATTCCATGTACTCAATAGTTTCATCTATCTATACAATGTTTTTTTTAAATTTGAAATTCAATGTAGTTCTGTTTTTCAATGAGTTGCCTTTTTAATACTTGTGCTTTTGAAAAACGTTTCATTGGAAGGTGATCCACATAGCTAAATCAATTCACTTTAAATCAGAAACCTCTTTATAATCTTTCTTTGCCCACATACACGATTAGGTATATTTTGCAAAACGCCTCTCACAGTGAAACTAAATATATACTGAAATAATTATGAATTTGTGAACGAGTGACTTAATAAAATTAACCCTAAATCTACTACATTTCAGTACGTTATTCAAGCTATGGTAAGGAAAGCTGATTATTACTGAATGGTATCGAAATACAACATTCGAAGACATATTCACTCATATGGACCTTGTTTGCTGAATACAGTTTGCAAATATTAAATTTTTAAAAAGTTTCAAGAAACTGTACACTCACCATCTCGAACATTCCAAAATTTGGATTCCTATATTCGACTATTGTTTTATTCTCCTTTTTGTAGGCTATGATTATTGATGCTCTTGAATTAATAGAACCTGTACTTAACCTTCGATCTATTAGCATGGACGCATTAAAATATCAGAATCCAGATAGTCTGAACGATTTTCTTAAACTTCATGATTCACTTTTGTGGGATATTTTTTATGGACGAGGATCATTATCAAAAGTCACTTCGGAAGATTTTCTTCCTCGAATTCGACATGCACAATCTCTAATACGTCGTATTTTAAATCGAGATCTTTATACCTATATTGATAGTGTATATGAAATGACATACTATGCACCTATTGATGAAAATAACAATCACCCACATTCTTTCAATTCGAAAAAGTTCCCTGACTTAATCAATGAAGTAGCAACTGAATCATTAACATTACGATCGATGGGGTTAGGACTAGGTCCTAGAAAAAGTTTATGCTATGAACCAATTTCACCTCATTACAGGACATTCGGGGTGACCTCAAATAATAAAGTTAGTCACATTTTATAATTTTTGTTTGTATCATACAGTAATTATTGAACCTTTGTAGTTCACTGAGTCTTGTGGATAGATATAATCCTGTATTTGTGCACATTAGTAATCGATCCATAATTTGTTTGTTTTCAGTATTTCACAAATATTTGATAATATATTTTCACCTACTATGATAACATTACACCACCAGATTATACACCGTCATATGACCATGTTTTTAGGTTTTGAAAAGTCAAAGCTGTGAAGTTATGTTTAGGTCTGAGACGTCATCAACCCCGTGAAACGACAAGTACTATTTTAGTATGTTTCGTAGTAATAAAACGGAAAGCACAAAACCTAATTATATATATGCAAGTACTATGTAATCATATCCCAACTAAAATTATGCATAGAATTAAACTCGAAGTTTTCGTACTCCAACCCAATGAATAACTGATGTCACAGAGACTATTCAATCTGGTGACGTTGGGTCCAATGAGCTCGTCACCGACCAAAAACTCCTTGACTATCGAAAAAATGAATGACATTAACATGTCGGTGAAAGTGAAAGGTGGATGGTTAATAATTGCATATAGACAGATATGTATGAAGCGTAATACAGATTTTACTTAGCCCTTTGTAACTGTCATAACTTAATATACGTTGATTCATCCGTATATCGTGTTCTCAATCCGAGGCGGTGTAACTTGTGAGAGATAAGTCTTACGCCTGGGTATCTAGTGTAGTGCGTGACAATCTTGTACATTATAGAATCGTTCGTCCTGGGAAAATAAATCACATCAGCCTTCCTGAGACATTTCAAAAAACACGTCAGACCAGTTCTAACTCCTATCTCTATTGTGACTTTTCCTTCTGTTTGATGATCTCAAAATGGATAATCACATTTGTCTTTACATTTTCAGAACATAGACTCTTAAAGATATTTAAATCTTTCATTTTATATATTCAATACTTCTCAAATACTAATCTCTGTTTCCAGTCCACTTATGGCTTAATTCATTGATGAATCTAAATTATGCTAATTAAAATAAAGTTATTAAAAAACTACGGACCACCTAAATCTTTCTGAGACCCATTTTGAAGACATTTATCTTCACAATACTTCATATATCAGGAATTAGTTCGGACAATAGGTAGTACGGCTTAAATTTTTGCAGTGATTCATCTCCATTCTTTTCCTATCTTCCCTAAAATCGTTGGCTAATTTTCATTGTTTGATCATATCTATCCCTTTCAAACTGTTTTTCTCACATTTTTTCCATAATAGTTAGATGATATAACGGATGGCATGAAATATTTTCTCTCTCCCTCAAGTATACTACGACCATACGTTATATCAGATCTAGGATTTCCGACCCAGAATAGATAATACTTTGTTTGGCACAATTACAAAGCAGTCGTTCTTAGTGAAAGGAAGAGAAATCACTTATTTAGTAGTTAGTAGGCCAAGTGACTAATTATATTTACGTTCACCACCATATATAATTAAAATTAGTTCCTCTGCTTCACATGTCACCCTTATTGTTGCCCTGTTGGGAATAACAATATTACGGACTGATACAAATTCATCTAAGACTTATACATCGATGATAAATGAATCAAGAAATCTAAATGTTATTTTTACCTTCCCTGTTTTGTTTTATTTTATCGATGTGAAAAATGGGTAGGAGTCAATAGAACTGTTCAATAGTATTTGACCACTTTGTAAACACCAACGTTTTACCCTGAACTTGTTATTGGAGCCCTGGTTTTGATATCTTCCCAAGTCTTCCAATGGATGACCTACTTTGTTTTGATCAATTAAGTCAAGATGATAATTCTCACTTCTAGAAACTTCAAATTAACTCGTTAATTTGGTCCATTTTAATTTATTTACTGATGATAATCTAGTACAACAATTCAATTATCATATTTGTTAATCATACTTAGGAAAGTATCTTTCTCTGAAAGTGGTCTTACGAATAAATAAAAAAGTGGATGGTAATTATCCTTGATTAACGTGATGGGTGGCTACACTATATTGTCTATAATTTACATAGACGTCTTGTTAGTTGAATGTCTTAACAATGGATAACTCGTAACCTCATTAGCTAAATCCCATCTACTCAATACCTCGCTATGAAACATTAGTTGGATTCATTGACGTATTTATCTACCAATTTGTATAGTATTTATTATTGGGACGCATGACGTCTTTTATAGCTTAGAACGTTGTTTAAATTCAGAAATTTCGTGAAAGTTTAAATAAATATTACCAGACTCTAACTGCAGTTAAGAAGAAATGAGCTGTTTTTGCAGTCAATTTTCTGCAAATCACCACAAAACTATATCTAGGTGCGTCGATATTATCTCACGTGCAATAAGTTGTTTTTTCTCAAATTTCCATACATTTCGGCCCATTTTGTTTTTGATTTATCCTTCTGACCTAGTTTATTGCTATCTCAGGAATTTTGTCTTTATTCTGGTGGCCACAATGTTTCGTACGTAGCATACACGGAACAAAGTAGTTCGTATATTTTGGACGCAAATACGCACTCAAATAATTGCCACATAGTACTGTTTTCAAGTATAATTTTTTTCTTATGTACGGACAGAGAAAACATTCCAAAGAATCCATCCTTACTGAAATATTCAGGAGACTTCCTCAGGACTCTGGGATCCGAGATATAGATGATCTATTGGTAACAGAATCTAGGTTCTCTTCAAACAGTACTCTCAAATCTCCCAGATTTTACTTTTATACACGTTCAGGGAATACTTTTACCTACAGCGAACCGGTAAGTATAAATATTTGTTATATTTCAGTGCTTACACAAAAACTGAGAATTGTCCACGTAATATGCACTCGTCAATTGCTTAGTGGTCTTTTATAAAACGTTATTCCACATTCTCAAGTTTACTAGGATTATTGTCAGCTGATTGAAAATCTAGGGTACCTGAAATATATTGAATATGAAGAAAGCTATGAAGCATTACATATGAGATCCTTCCCATTGAGCAAGTATATTTTTAGTCTTATTAAATAAAATCCTGAATTATCAGACAGAACTTTAATAATAAATGCAGTCTTGCCAGATATTGTCTACAACTTAAGGATATACATCTATAACTCAATTATGATATTTATATAAGGATAGATTATCCATAAAGATTTACAATAAACGCTATAAGAGCTCAAGAGAAATCGCAAATGTTGATCAGACACTGATTGGTTGCTCATAATAGTTGAGAATCGAATGCTTCATAATACACTGAGTTTATTTTGGAATTTTAGTTACGTGTTATACGAGCATATCGTCTTTATTGGCGCAGGACTAATTCTCTTTTAAAATCTGCGATATCCCGTCCTGTAACATGTTTAACGGAAGCATTTAACCAATGGCATCAAGAGATGATTGAAGATAGACATGGTGGAGAAAGTGATTAATCTGTTAATCGCACATAGATACTACGAAAGTGACAGAACAACAAAGCCATATTGTTTTACACTTATTCACTATAATTCATTTTTCTTGTTGCGAAAATTATGGTTACAATAGTTATTATTCATATCACGTTGCTTCACAAAATGTTAAATTTGTAAATAGTCGAACTGAACTTCAAAATACACTTTACGAAAAGTTAAACTGTGTTCTTGAAAATACAGCAATGGTTAACGCAGTGGATTCTAGTTACTATTCGTCATTAAATCATAAGTGTTGGCATACAAAATATACTTTTAGGGAAACTTATTATAAACATTAAGTCTAAGGGTGATTGCAGTCTACAAAACAACAATTGTAAGGTTTCTTAAAGATCTACCACGTGGCAGATTTAGATGTATTTAAATATACATCAGTTTTAAATAAACCATCTCGATTTCCCAATAGTTTCAGTCCGGATCTGAAATTAAGAAACACCAATTTCCGTCAATCTATTAATTTGACTTGATACTCCTTTATTTAGATGATTGAATTAGTTTGTAACTAATATCTTTTCTGGTAAGCTGTAGAACTGTCAATCCCGGTATATTTTGTGAAATGAATCTTCGTCATTCAAGTGGTGCTTTTAGTTCAAATCAGTCAAGCTTTGACTTTATCCACATCATCATATCGAATTACAACATAATTCCCAGACCAATGATTTAATATATCAGCTGACTTGTTCAAACCTTCCACATTTAGACACGTCAAGAGCTGATATGAACTTACTGTCAATCTCTGGTTTAACAGGCGTTTTTCTGTAAACTCGTTAGTTGAGTATGTCCACGAAAGAATCCCTCGATTGTTGTCTTGATAGTTAAGTGAATTGGTTAACGCTTAATAAGCGTATTAATTTAGCAAAAATAATAGAAGTGATGACAAAGAGGATGTCAAAAATAGCTCATGACCACTTCATTTAGTAAGTAAAAACAGTGAAATCGCAAAAGAGGAAAACTTAAATAGAGTTTAGTGACGTAATAAAAACATTAACGTTCATTTTCGCTTAAGCTGAGGAGCAAAAGTGATCACTGCACCATTACGAATTTGATAATATGATAACTTATTAGTTAACACATCTAGTCTAGCACTGATAGGTGGAAGACCTTCTGGTGGACACACACTATGTGGGTTCACTAGAGCTAGACATTTCGTTTTCCACAAATTACGCCAGCTAATCGACTTCGAAGGAATATTGCTGGACGAAATACAGTCGGCGGAATCCTCTTTACATTTATCTTCTGGTAAATTTGATGCACTATGGAGATGGTTCATGTATGAATTAACTGCATCTTGTACTGCCCATCGCAATTCCAAAACACGAGCATCAACAGGAACTACCAGAGGTAGTCTTACACCATCTCCTCTCAACAACGTTAGGCGCATAGCCTGCGGAAACAAATAATAGAAATAAGTACACTAAAATCAACGTGAGTGTATTGGGATAAATTTTTACGAATGTTATGAGGAAAATTTTGTATTTAGATTTTTATGAACACACATAACTGACAGATATGAAAAGACAAAGCCAAATAATTTATAAAAGAGTGGTTTGTGTTTCCTAACAGACACTTCTGTCAACACATCCTGAGCACAAGTTGTAACGAAAAATTAGGGAATTTTCGCTCATAGAATCATAAGATTACTGAACTATGTGGAAAACTAAGTATTAGTTTCCGACCTTCTAAAAATTAACTAGAGCAACTCCAGTCAATATATATATATATATATATATATATATATATATATATATATATATATATATATATATATATACAACGCAGGCTTACTCATACTTAAGCACAGCATGCAGGCTTTCTTGCTAGCGAAAAATAAGTTCTGTTAGATTACTGAGGTGATTTTCTCCTTCCTGCATAGAATAACACTTTTAATTAAACGCAGCAATACACATCCAAACCACTTTGCGAGAATCATTATACTATTCTAAATGATTGAAATAGAGTAAATAAAGTGGGAGGGTATTTCATCTCAATTAGCTCCTCACCAGTATATATTGTGTATAATATTGATATGATACTAAACAAGCGGTAGTATAGTATAATAACATTAAAACTTTGGAGGTGGTTATAGAAATTTCGGATTAGTAAGTGATTCAAAAAGGTAGAATAAGCTAGTTAGAAAAATCGAAGTGATTCCTTGTAGATGAACCGAAACATTTAGTAAAGATGTTGCGAGACTGGTAATACCTGATAATAGGATTAGTAAACAGCATTTTCATCACAAACCAAATTTTATCGATGACAGTAGCTATCCACAAGAGAAAGATTGTCGTATTTGTACGGTTTTGACAACCGCAGTATTATAATTCCTTACTGGTAGGCTTTAAACACAAATAAATAATAGAGGATTTACCCGGATAACCCTCTCCAAATATAAACATATATTGAGCTATTCATTATGTATTTAAACCACTAGAAATCACTGATGTATCCTCGGTCAAAATCACTTTTCCTTGTTTTCTCAAATCTCACGAATAGACTTTAACAGAATATGTAGATCAAACTTAAAACAGCGAAAATACTGAAATACATATTAATGTTTGAGGTTGTCATCTCGTGGTAAAACAGGTATGCTACAGAAACAGGACTTACTCGCCCAAAGTGAATTTCTATAGCATTCATCACTTCTCTGTTTATTGGCAGGTTTACGAATTCACCTTTCTCGTGATCGGACTTTGAAATAAGGTCATTAAGAAATCGATCGTTAGTAATGACTGATGTAAGCTTCTTATCCACTGACTCTAGAACCATTTGATATTCCTTGATAGTTGCAGAAAATTCCTCCTCCATGAACTTCGCTTTGGGTCTGTATAACAAGATCTGCGTTCAAATGCGCTAAGACCCATCATTATCAAAATGATTTGGTAGCCATGTCCAACCAGATAAGGCAATTATGTGTAGAAAATACAGAAACAGACAGTCACCTTACGTATTATAGCAACGGTTTTTTTGAGAAACGATTGGGGAGCATTTAACTGCACTGTTAGATATTTATTAGAAATATGAAGTCGACAAAGAGTATTAAGAAATGAGTTGTAAAATTTAAAAGAATAGAAGTAACCAGCTACAAAATAATAACATCGCAATTTCTCTTTTCATTTCCTTCAACTTGGCCTTTAGATGAATTACAGTGAGAACAGACGTGAATATAACTACAAGTTATGATTCGTAGATATTCTAGTCGCTATAAGTCATGAGTAGCACAAAATGACTCGAAAACTCCGTTGCATAATGCCATAAAATAGGAAGGTGTTTTTAGATTTTCTATAGCAAAAACTAAAATCCAAAGGACGATGACTTTAGACAGCGTGAAAGAAGCTTTAATTACAGCAACTTACTAACTTAGCTATAATACACAGGTCCGGAGAACATTTGATGAGTCGAAGGTGACTTATGGAAGGTTTGCTGGACAGGACTATTTTCCGGGATTGTCTGTTTAATGGTGTGCCTGAGAAGTTTGTTACCGTTTGAACAACCTTACATACAAACATTTCAGGGAGATTGCAAGCACACAAACACCTCTCTATCGTTACACGAAATCAAAGGGATCAGACAAGGTTCCCCAATATTAGCACTCTTCTTTCGATTCTCGGAGTGAATTTCGTTTCTGTCTTCTCAAAAATGCCGGTAATATTTCTTGCTAAGCACGACTTAATGGCCTATAATTGGGGAGTTCTACGTTTTAGCATAATGGGTAGTGAAGGATCTTTTTGAGGTTTCATCCCCAAGAACGAGTTGACTTTTGATATCCAGCCTTTTTATCTCTTACTGTTATTTCCCATCCTGGAAAGCTTAGTTGTCCTGATATACGGAACAAAAAATATAGGACGGGTTTGCACAGAAGCTCACTGGGTTGTAGACTAATTGTTACAGCTCATCTTCAGTAATAATCCTGCTATTTATAACGCGAGGCAAGAGTTGGAAAAAGTTTGGAAACTGATGAAGCAATTTTAGCGAACATAAGACTATATAAAGCTTAATTGTATTTTTACATCGGTTACCCAAAATACTTGAGTTGGATTAACAAAAGGATACCACATAGCCCCAAGGTATTGCAACCAACTGCAAGCGCCGCTTTTCCGTGCAGGAAAAAGGTTTAAGCACGGTAATCGCTTGTCATAGAAGGGTTTGAAAAAAGTCATAAGTAACTTAACTTGAAAACTTCAGATATCAAGTGTGTCGACATTTTTGGTAATATATGAACTACCTGCTTGAATCCAATGTTCCAGATAGTCTCATATAGATTGGGTACAGCACACACAACTCAAACCATGTGGAAACCCAGATGGGTTATGTAGTGCTAGTAAGATGTGGCAACGCTAAATTGGTATTGTCCACTGATGGGGGTTATTGAGCACTTGAAGGTCATAGTGTAGTAAAACGATTAGGGAGTCAACTCGACAATTCGTAAGGTTTTGCAACAGCGGTCAAATCAAGACAATTTCAAGTTTGATTTGAGTCCAGCCACACTATTACTGATAGCCTCATCATTCAAGTAACGACATCATTATAATACATTATATAGTACGAATCTCCAATGACATTATGTTTTCGCGACAATATACTAGTCAAGAAAATTTTGAGACCAGCCTGAAAGGCGTACAAATTCCCATCGTTACTTTGCCCGAAAAAAATAACAGTGCGAAAAATTGTCATGCTGCCACAGCGTCGTTGTCTGAAATTTTACTGAGCCCTGGCCAAATCAGCCGGTAGTCGGGTCACTGAAATTCTGACAGTATACTGTGACTGTCCTGATAGACTTAACGTTGCCGCAGAAACACGTTATCAAGAAATGGTACAAGAAATGGAATGTGACTGCTACTCCATGAACCAGCCAGCAACAATCCATTGGCATCATCCGTCAATGGAAGTTGCTGAACACGTGAAAGTCAATCTACTGTCTTTAGTCTTTTGTAGTGATGATGGGACGTTAGATGTCTCACATTGATCCTTGCAATCTGTTACACTGTGAAGACTCAAAAACCACTTTCAATGTTTCAACAAAAGGTGCTGATATCACGTGTCCTGGTGAAAAAAATTCCAGTGATTGACTATTTGGTCCGAGAAATGGAAACCCAGGCGTAAATTGTTTGATCACAGTCTTCCAGTTTTCCTAGAATTCTCTCTTGAATGATCAGTCGTAAATGGAAAGAAACCATAAGAAATTGATACCAAGATCATTATTCAGTATGCGATAATCCAGTAATAAATCACTCCTGACCCTGCCGTAAGACAACGGGTATAAGTTGAGGCCTCTCAGTATAACATCATAAGATGGGCTAGAGAGAAAGTTCACCATTTTAGTCCCTTTCCGTCGAACTAGTTCCAGCATTCCGCTTCATACTTGAAACAAGGACTTTCTGCTTGAGTCAAATGTTACAAATGCGGCCTCACAACGTTTGGATACGGTACTCTAAAAATTTCTTCGTTCAAGTAAATGAAGTATGTAGGAGTAGATTGTAAGACTCTAAAGCCTTTGACAGTGGCAAACAGTTACTATTAATTCTAGGGTTTTTGGTTATTTCGAATCCTAGAACTTGAAGTACCACAGTTTCACTGTTGATGTAACGATATAAATTCTTGCTTTTTTATTTGTATCCTTACACTCTATCTATAGTTCATTTATAATGATCACTTATACATCCCTTCAACCAGTGAATTTAGGTTAACCTGAAATATTGTCCAATCTGCAACATTGTATGTTCAAATCTTGATGTCGTGTGTAGAGAGCAAGACAGATAACTTCGCTACACTTAACAAGTTATTCATATACAGCAAAAAAAGGAGGGACATGGATTGAACCTTGGAAGACCGAGTGTTTTATAAATTCCCCATTTACTCGTACCCGTTATCTTCGATCATTTAGAAAGTGATTTCATGATGGATCCCAAAAAATTCCCAGTTTAAGATCAAGGTGACAGACTTGATGAAGGCTTTACTTGGATCTATGAAAATCACATTTGCCAGAATAATAATGTTTCTTTGTAGCCTAATCGTCTCTCATAATGAGCAGATTGATAAACATGGAAAGCATTTCCTGAAACCATATTGTTCCTCAGCAAAAAGATTATTCCCTTCTACATGGTTTAAATTAGCCATCCCAATGATCCCTCATATTAATTTGACAACTACATGGGTTAGACTAACGAGAAGATAGTTACCAACTAACCAGACTGATAATTGAGTCTTTTCGATCTCTTAGCATTTTCGACCGTCGCTAAGACATGTGAAATAATAATGCAAGATACTCAGCAATCACATCCACCATTGCCCTGGGTAAATATTATCAGGACCGCTCAAGTTATCTGGTTTTAGATGTTCAAGTAATCGTAAGGCAGTTTCCTTCTCGATAACCACAGAATCAATCGATGAGTCACCATTGTAATCAATTGTTGGTCTTTCACCATTGTCAGTAGAAAACACTTCACTAACATATCTTGATAAAGCCTCAGCTTTTGCATATGATTTCTTGTCAATATCGACGGAATTTATTGTACAAAATGTGACAAGGTTACATAACTTCTCTGTATCGGTTCTTTATGTATGACCATAACCTTCTCTTACTGTTTTAATAATGATAATATATGTTTCCGTATGAGCAGGTACACGCCATTTTTACAGTAATGATCTACAAATTTCAACATTTGTTGGCTCACAGAATGCTCCTCAAGTAGGGTCATTAAATAAATGAAATAGATAAAGGTGAGTAGCAGTTCACTCGTGGAGATGTCTTACGGCGATAATGATTAGGTTTATGCTTCAGTAGCATGAAGGTCTAGTCTTACTTATCTACGTTATAGTAGCCTCTTGCAATAAGTGATGGCACGGTCAAATTGTTTAACCTTGGGTTTTCACGCACATGTTACATATTTTTTGAGGATTTTGAGATGTCGTTATTCATCAGCTTTTAACAGCATTTTTTCCGTCACACGTCAATTTTCGCCATATTTGTGCTTGTAGTGTAATTTTTATTCCAGTTTATTAGTAATTTTCATAAGTCACTTACAACCTGGGTGAATGTTTAGTCAGCCTAATGTGGTTATTTGTAAAAATGGAAATTCAGACAAGTGAAATTCACCATTTAAAAAGCCAAAATTCGACCGCAACCAGAGTTTTATGCAAAAGTGAGCTCCCAAACTTGTTACATTTGATTCACCTTCCCAATTATGATGGTGATGAACATGGATGTTGGTAGTTGTCTATAAAATATGGGTTGAAGCAATTAAGCGTCAAACTATTTATGAATGTTATAAAAATTCCTAATATACGGTCATAAACAGTTCTATCTATTGTAAGTATAATTGATTTTGACTGAAATGAAATATTATTATTTAACGTATCTGAGAAATAAAAGTTATATGGGTAACAGTTGACGGTGGTAGCCTTCCTGTCCAATTTATGAACATATACAGGAACTGTGTATAACATTTCTGTAAGTGCTACATTAATTAGTCACATATTTCTCATAAGTAAAGTGGTGTGCAGTTGTTTTGAGCATGGTAACTAGACCATGTCGTAGTTAATACTAATTTACGATGTGTTTCTTATAGTGTTAACAAATGGATTAATGTAAACACAATCCGCGATCACTGACCAAATTATAAACAACGTTCTGATGCGTGTTGACAAGTAGTATCTAAATGGTGCTTACCAGGTTCTTTGTTGATACTAAGTGATTAGGTGAAATTCTAGGAGGGTTAGAAAATGAAGAGCACCGTTTAAAAGTTAGACACTTATAGGTACATTCTGTTAGCTGCTAATTCATTTACTTGTTGTACTTGATACTGACA